TTGTGCTTGTTATATTTTAGAATTTTTTCTTCTTTTATTTAATTCATTAATTATTATTTTTTACATTTAAAATTTATTTTAAATGATAATAATAATAATAATAATAATAATAATAATAATAATAATAATAATAATAATAATAATAATTTATTGTATTAAAAATATATAACACAAATGATACAAATACCCTTAATCAATTTATTTGAGAAATGAAAAGAAAGGGTAAAAATGACTTTGTATACTTTTGCACCAAAATAGTGCAAAGTATAGTGTTGCATTGTAATTGTTTTGCACCAAAATATGATGCATTTTGGTGTTTTGGGTCTTACATTAGAGACAGCCCACAATCCACAAATTCCTATTTCATTTGTACCAACTACTCACCCAAAGACACCATATATATTCCAACCGTGCAGGTTGTACAAGAGGGGCTTTACACTCTTCTTGACAGAGTAGACACAAGAAGGGGTGGGGGCTTCAATTTTTTGCATTTTTTATTCATGTGGGGTTGGCTCGAGTCCCATGCGAATGTGAGTAACTATCAACCAACATGTCAAGCATTTTCTAGTAGAAGAGTTTTATTATATATATTCCTTTTAACTCATTGTAGTTTTTTGGATTCTAGAAACAAGTATATTCAAAATGATTTTGTCATTTGTACCTGAAACTTTACACTCCGGGTTACCCGCCCCCCACGTGGAGGTCGAGTCTCACACCCAATAAATGCTTGGGACCTACCCCCCATGTGAGAAACGGATAACCCGGAGTGTAAAAATCCGGAACCAACTTGCAAGAATTCCAGGTACCTTTTGCAAAATCCGATTCAAAATGAATCAACTTGCAAGAATTTCGGGTACCTTTTGCAAAATCCGATTCAAAATGAACCAACTTGCAAGAATTCAGTGTACATAGGGCCATAGATAGGGGCTACTCTACTCCACTTTCGGCTAAGATCAAATAGAAATGCCATCTTCTTTCCAAACAGATATTTATTTTCACACAACAAGAATGATATGGAGAATCTGAGATAATCCTTCATTCAGCATCTTATCAAGCAATTATGAAATGAGGACATATTTCTTATAACATTTAGCCCCCGTTTCGCCCCTACTATTTGATTTTATAATTTTTGGAATAGTGATTTTTTGAAGAATGTACGGTTGAAAAAGAAGTAAAAGTTTTTTGTTTATGTATAACATTATTTTGTTGGAAAATGTATTATAAATTTAATGGGGCTCAAATGACAAATAGGGGCTTAATCTTGTAATTTGGATGTTTTGGAAGATACGAGTAGTTTCCTGCAACCACCAGCAACTTCAAGAATTCCAAATAACTCCAGTCACATTGTCTAGTAATTTTGGGGTGAGAGAAAAGATGGCAAGAATAGAAGTGAAATTTGTATTGAAAAACCACTCAAAAATAGATAAGTGTCTAGAATCATATATTTGGCATGTAAATTCACAAAATTAGGTACTTAGGTTGTATATAATAATTCCTTTTCATTGTGATCAAGATTGAGACTATGAGAGTGCTAAAATATGGAGAATTCGGGACATGGAATAGCAAGGTGTTTTAACCACAAAAGCTCTTGAAATTTATCTAAGCAAGCATTTTGACCCGAAATTTATGTTGAAGAATGCTACGTTTTCTTTTAGGAGGAAATGCTGCATGATGGTATTAAGGACGTGAAGAACAAAGCTTAGATAGTGCTAGCTGTTAAGGAATAAATTCTAAATTGGTTGTAGATCAAATAACATATAAGGGTTTCAATTACTTCTATTAATGAGTTTGACATTTTAAAACGGAATCTTAAATTTTAACACTAGCAAGAATGCAAGTAAAGAAATTCCATCACCCACGGAGTTAAATGCTTACACCTAATGGCTTCACAACAGCAATGAAAGATCGTAAACAAATATGAATTATTGGTTCAAATTTTCATTGAAATCTCCTAACAGCAGTAAAGAAACATTGACTAGTGTTCGCATGATCGCGTCTAAATTCAGAATTAATTGGTGTTACCTAAATCAACACGGTTCAAAGATTCTTCTAAAGCAACTCTGGGTTAATACGAGCATAATGCAAAACAGTAAGGACATTTTGTATACTGTATAAGATTGGGGAGTAGGATTTTTTTTCAAGATTTTTTATGCACGATGAGTGAAAAAAACCCATATCTTTTACCAAGAGAATTCTTATCTATTGCTAACAGCAGTTTTTTGGATCCGATGAGATGTGTCCTGACCGCTAATCGCTACTCGTGTCTATGGCATATTCGGCTCAGCTTGTAAATAGCTTATTTGGGTATTCTATGGCCAAAAAGGAAAACCCAAATAAGCTACTTACAAGATTAGACAAGATGCGCCAAGTGCTTATGATGGTCAAGGTTCTACAGGATCTTGACTGAAGAGGACACTTCTGAGTATATTTCACTAAATTTCTAAGATTCTTGGGAGGCATCATAGTCTAAGATTTGAAGACATTAAGAGGCACCGAAAATGGATAGATTCAATTGAATCAAGTTGCAAGAATTTAGTGTACATAGGGCCATAGATAGGGGCTACTCTACTCCACTTTCGGCTACGATATTTACCTTTTAAATTCTCTGTTTTAGAATTGCTGACTTCTTTCCAAACAGATATTTATGGTCATCCAATGAAAATGTGTCCTTTGTAAATTGAAAAGTTGCCATAATCTTTGGACATACAATCGGTTCCCCCTATCAACACTTTTCTGGTCAAGTCCGTCACACCGAACTTGCCTAGTGCAATTTATCTTACTAGTGTGATTCGCAGTCTATTGCGTTAGCCCGATGGTTTACTCAGTGCGCATCCAAAAATTAGCGGTTACGGGTTCTCCCATCATTAAAAAAAAAAAAAAAAAAAAGGTATGAATATATGTCCTTAGATCAATTAAAATGTCACATCATCTAAATGAAAGAACAATATGAACCACGAGCCCAAGAATGAGTCTATGCCTTGTCTAGCTCTACTTTTTACAAGATTAAAATTAATTTTTATACCATTGCAAAGTGCAATGGGTATCAATGTTTGGCTTTTATTGAGAAGGAAGTAAAAAAAATGACAACAGCAATGGTACAATAATTGATTATATTCCAAATGAATATTTATCCCAAACAGGCGCTATGCTATATTTGGTTCCGAAGACAACCAAGTTGTCCCACTAAGCTCATGTTGTAAACTCACGTCACTTGGTAAATAGTCGTTAGACTATCTCCTATGTGGCAACACCTAGAATGACGTGTTTGTCCACTTGTACATAACTCAGATGATTGCCACCTAAGCCCAACAATCATATCGTACCGAGCTCTTGTTTGTTTCCATTTAAAATAAAATTCTTTAATTCTCATACTTATTTCAATTCCACATTTACACAAGAAAATATTTTGTACGTAAAATCAAATTTTTTCTACTTTTTAAACATCTATTCTCCAAAAAATCACTGTTAAAAAAATTATTTTTTTCCAAAATAATAGCCATAAAATAGGGGGCTAAATTTTGTCAAAAAGTCTGTAATTTGTTATTGAGTGGCCTAAGAACTCGAACCTTATCATGAAAGTCACCTATCACGCATTATAATAAAAGGAAAGGTATTTGCCCTAAGGCACATCTCCAAGTGGTAAAGAGAGGAGGGTAGAGAAATCCAGTTTTGCTTGAGGCTGCCGCGTCAAGAGTTCGAATCCTGAAATATGGATTTGGCTCTTGGATAAGTGCAAGTGTACAAGCAGCCTTCCACCCTGTACCCTTGGAGGCATAACCTGCGATTTACCTCCCTCACGATACTCCAGGGTAGGGGCGGTGGGGGACCCTTAAAGTTGGGGTTAAAAAGGAAAGGTTTTTGTATATAGACATACACGCAATCGTACGAACTTATGCTGAAATACACTCACCATCAAAAAATTGCACGCACTTTCCAAAATCCTTTTCTGGTTTTGGCAATCAAAGTCTATTCGGTTGACAAACTCACCTCGGCTACTGGACTAACCAAACTGTTAATTTTACAAGGAAAGGAAATTTGTACAGGAACCTGTATACTTTGCAGTCAGCCAATTATCGACTGACGTTGAATGCAACTCAATTACCAATTCTACTGACTTGCAAATATGAAAATAATAATTTAATCTATAAAAGTTTGAGCTACTTCTCTTAACGAAGTTAAACTTATAAAAGGGAAATTGAAGACTCAATAAAGAAGTCCCAGGCCGTATGGAGTGATGAAAGTGTTAGGGATAAAATCCCACACCATTTAAATATCGAAATTTTGACCAATTTAAAAAGATCATGGGCTATTTCTCTTAACAAGATTAACCTTTTTAAGATGGACCCCAAATCTTACATGGTATCAGAACCCATTAAACTCCAACGAACAATTTGATCTGATTATAAATCTTAATTAATGAGCAACGGATCGCAAGATTGGTCTGCTCAAATGAGCCACCATCTTGCGGGGACGTATTAAGGGATAAAATTTCACATCGGTTAACTATCAAAATATTGGCCAACTTAAAAAAAATCTTGAGCTACTCCTCTTATCAAGGTTGATTTTATTAAGATGGGCCCCAAGTTTTAACAGAAACTCCTTATCTTACATTATCTTTTATTGAAAATTCTGTGCCAAGAATCAAATGAAAAGGAAGAGTAAATCAACCCAACTGGCCAACTGGAGCAAAATCAGATTCTGTCATATGATTTCATGTCTGTTGCCCATCACTTGTATGATATTATTATTTCAGGAAGATCATCATCGTACACCTTCATCATGGACTGAAGGAAAAGTTTGATTAATAAAACCTATGTGAACTTTGCTAACCGGACAGGGCTCCAAATTGGACAGGGCCAACGCGGCAATTTGGCACCCCCTCCATTCGGCGCCCTGGACGGAGTCTGTCCAGCCCATCTCATTTAATAAACAATCAAATTAAAAGATGATGCGAACTATGTTTCTCACCTTGAATATGTTTATTATGACTCAAGAACCAATAAAACAAAGGAAAATTCTATTTCTTGAGTGCTCAAGCATGCTTAAGCCTTCGACCACAGATCGAAGTTTTACTTTTCTTTATTACACTGAACACTTGTAGTTTCAAGTGCGGTAGACATTAACCCACCTAATTGAATCATATCATTTGAAAGTTTTAAGTCCTTAAAAGGGAAATTTTTTGTCAATATCACCCGGCAGATTAAATCTGATATGGAACTCACTGTCAGCATCTTTTCATTTTCGATGTTCATAGCTTTTCTGAAGAACGATTTTGAATATCAAAAATCATGATGCTTCTTGTGTTCATTCACATCACTGCATAAATTGAGTTCACTTCAAGTGCTCATGGATGCCTGATTTCTACACGCGAATCATCCAATGCACATGAACATGGCATACACCTTGCATTCGACCTCGGTGATGATAATCTTCAAATACCGCCGTGAAGCTGCAATTAGAACTTAAGCTTAATATTCTACTTGAACAAGAACCATAAGTTACGGAGTATTTAATCGAACTAGGAAATAAAATGAACACAACCCTCAACTTCTTTTTCTTCCTTAATACAGGCATGCTGCAACACAGGACGTTAATATATTTTTTTAACCATGGCAGATCTTCAGAAGATTCCGAACAGAAATTCAGGGGATTTTTATTGATAAAAATCATATAAAAAAACATGTCTAATAGTGAAACTACACGAAATCAATCTTCATACTGAATGAAACAGGAGAACCTTTTCTGGGCAGGTGACCTAGCACCAATAAGGGAGAGAACTGAGCTGCCCTACTCTCGCTTAAAAACGAGATTCTGGGGGAACACAATCATTGTACGGACTCAGCAGGACAGCTATAAGACCTTGGATTATTGTTAAGGACGAAGGTAAAGTAGTTACAAGATCATTTGTTTGGTACGCTGGACAAGATTCATTACTCACCCAATCCATCGTAATAAACATGGAATTATTGATAGTCTCTCGAAAATTCTGAGATCTTTTGGACAGTCGTCGAATTTGACCCACACGAGTGTTATTAGGTAATCCGATATAATTTACGAGTGACTCTTTGATCACGGAGAGAAATTCATAATATGTGAGATATAAACCTACACCTTCGACGTTTAAAGACACATGTTCAAGTTATAGCCTAGCTCTCATCGATGGAGCATTGCTATTTTCACTAGGATTGCACTTTGCAAGCGATTAGAACATTTCTTTAGCGACATGGTTGTCCGACAAGACACTAACCTTAAGGTGAGGGTGGTCTACAGTGCCCTGTTGGGTAAGGCGAGTAACCGGTTTCAATACCTTTTTCAATTTTATTTTATTTTTATAGATTTTCTTTAAAAAAAATCAAAAAATAATAATAATAATAAAAATCCAAAAAGATAATAAAGGCCTTCGGGTGCCTGCTTGGCTATACAGCCACATGGACAGCCCGGCTCAGTAAACTGTAAGAAAGAAAATGAAGAGTGAAATTACAATTTCTTGAAGCTGGAGATTCTTCAAATTTGTTACTGTTCTTTGTCCTTCTTCAGTTGTCGTTTGGATTAAGACAAATCATAAAAAATCTTCAATCTTTGGCATTTATAGGCCAACTTGCACGACCCCACCTCCCCCATTCTCCTGGAGCTTATAAAAGAACTAGCATTTGCTGCCTCTATGCACATATCAGTTTTTCACTTCTGTGTTTTAACTGAAGTCTCAATCTCTTCTGCATTCTTTTTGCTATTTGTCTTCTTTCGGCTATTCCATTTTATTTAGCGGTTCATACTTGTCTAAATTCAATCAAATTGCATCAGGCTGAATGTCATCCCATGGCTCAGGCACTTGGACAGCTAGGGAGAACAAGGCCTTTGAGAAGGCTCTGGCTGTGTACGATAAGGACACACCGGACCGTTGGGACAGTGTCGCCAAGGCCATCGGAGGGAAAACTGCGGAAGAAGTGAAGAGGCATTATGAAATCCTTGTGGAGGATATCAAGTGTATCGAGAGTGGCCATATCCCCTTCCCTAACTACAAGACTACTGGAGGTGGTAATGTGAAAGACGGGAGCAAAGGTAACATGAACGTTGAACTACCTCGTTTAAAAGTTTAAATTACCAGTCTAATATCAAAAAATGATCTTGTCACCTTAATGTTCCAGCTTTGCGTTTTCCTCTCATATAGCCTCAAGACTAAGTCACTTCCTTCTCAACACTTTTTCACACGACATTCCTACGTGCATTATATATATAGATAAATGATCTGCTAAACACCACCAACATGGATAATTGATCTATAGGTGGATGACAAATTTAATTCAAATATTGCAATCAACCATAAATTATGTTTATCCACTCCATTGATGTGTCATATCATCTGTGTTTTAATAGATTATTTCTCTAAATATATATTTGTATCTACGCACCTGTGATACTAAAATCATAATTAAACAGACATTCGATGTCTGAGAAGAGTAGCCACCAATAAATTGTTTGAACTGTAACATAGCACATGTATATTCTCATTGTTTAGTCCAAACAAAACATGCACTAAATAAATGCAATAATCTTGTATTTCCTAGGATGCTAGTCTAAGAACTTAATAACATCCATGCCATAAGATCATGTTGGTCACCGGTCCATGAAATTTTTTGTCTTATACCCTGGCCAGGAAGCACAAATAGTACAGGAGTATGCCATTCACATTTCACTATGTAAATAAGATAGTCACCAACTTATTTGTATTGGTTCAAGAACATGTGTGTTCATAAACACACGCATAGAAGTGGCCGAACCCTCAAACTATTCCGACCAGATCAGAATTTCTTTGAATATGTTCTTGAATTCATTCGAGATATGAGTAAAACTCAAATTGGGAGGGATTCTGACTTCTTATCGATTTTATTATATATTTAACTAAAACTATCGTATCGTTCACATGTAGGATGAAAAATTTGAAGCTCTGATGTAGCGTGAAGATTCAAATAAAGATGCATTTTCATCGACATCTAATTGATGATATATGTGCACTAGTAATTTCAGTATCAATGAAGTGATTCTTCTTATATAACTTCTTATATAACAAGCTGTAATCTATATATATATATTGTCCACATCAACTATTTAGTTTCTCTACTGTTCGTAATAACTGTGTTGGTAATATGAGGAGGAAGCATGTGAATTTCTCCACCACAAGTTGTAATGATTTGCCAAATTTGAAGTGTAGCTTATGAATTTTCTATATAAATATCATCGGTTGAAATAAAAAATGGACAAAAACATGAATGCAATTTACGTCTAGTATTCAGTGTTCATAACTACTCCTCTTACTTAAAGCTGTAGCCAATGCTTAGATCAAGCTCTATCCAAACTTTTCTAGTTTTTGAAATTCGATAAATGTTGGTTGATTGTATATTTCATTATAGTTCTATAATCTATCAAAATTTCCCTTCTTCGCTTCTTTCGTTTGAGCAATAACAAAAACGAAATTAAAAACATCAAAGTTTATACTGGAATGAACCAATGAGTTTTTTAACATTGTGAACTAAATAATATAAGACAATAAATCCTTCCTCTCTTAAAAGAGATGATAGCAATTTCGCCCCCAAGGCACATCTCCAAGTGATAAAAGGGGAAGGTGGAGAAATCCAGCTTTGCTTAAGGGTGCCGTATCAAGGGTTCGAATCCTGAAATATGGATTTGGCTCTTGAATAAGTACAAGTGTACAAGCAACCTTCCACTCTTTACCTTTGGAGGCATAACCTGCGATTTACCTCCCTCACGACACTCTAAGATAGGGGCAGTGGGGGACCCTTAAAGTTTGGGTTCAACATTTTTTTGATGATAGCAATTTACTATTCATTATTGTATCACTCCGTTTCACACCTTAACTCGATAAACATTGTTTACAAGCTGGTTTCGTACTGTTCATCAGTAAATATCTTCTAATCTCATAAAGCCATCCTCACCTTTACCTTGTTCTGCTACTTTTATTACTTTCCCTTTTCATTTTCTAGCCGTCCAAGAAAAGCTCCTGATTAATGGACATTATTGAACTTCAAAATATCATCAAGGGTTCGAATCCTGAAATATGGATTTGGCTCTTGAATAAGTACAAGTGTACAAGCAACCTTCCACTCTTTACCTTTGGAGGCATAACCTGCGATTTACCTCCCTCACGACACTCTAAGATAGGGGCAGTGGGGGACCCTTAAAGTTTGGGTTCAACATTTTTTTGATGATAGCAATTTACTATTCATTATTGTATCACTCCGTTTCACACCTTAACTCGATAAACATTGTTTACAAGCTGGTTTCGTACTGTTCATCAGTAAATATCTTCTAATCTCATAAAGCCATCCTCACCTTTACCTTGTTCTGCTACTTTTATTACTTTCCCTTTTCATTTTCTAGCCGTCCAAGAAAAGCTCCTGATTAATGGACATTATTGAACTTCAAAATATCTTTTTTTTTTTTTTTTTTTGCTTCCACGCATTTAGGCCTTCGGAGGTTGTTATTGATGGGCGTACGTTTTCTAAACATTAATTTCTGTGGATTTTGGCGGTGTTTCTCACCAATGTTGGGTCGCTGTTCATCTCGACCGATGGGTTTCTTGGAGGACGAAGAGATTACAGCAAATTGAAAGGTGATACAGGGCCTCTCGTCATCACCTACATTCCCTGTGAATTCAAGCTTGTTCACATGTTTTGAATTAACTTTTCTTTTTTTGTGATTCTAATTTTTTGATTTTTGTAATTTCAGACACGAGAATTGATTGGGATTCATCTATGTCACAGGTAAGAGTAGAAGTTCATAATTTTTATATTTTGCATTCAATTTAATTGGATTTTTCAACAAAATTTTTATACTTAAAACTTAATTTATTAAAGGTCAGTGGGTTTTGGGAGGAGAAAAAGATTACAACAAATTGAAAGGTGATACAGGGCCTGTCGTTTACCCAGCTAGGTTTCTTTATATATATTCCGTCATTCAGTATGTTACCGGAGGCTAGACCTATCCTGCCCAGGTAATTTTTCCTTTTTGTCAATAATGTTTGTGATTCGTTTTTAGTTCCTTGATGAACACAGATGCTATTCTCGTTTGATGTTTTGAGTTCATGAAGTTGTGTCCTCAAATTGGGTCTAGGTAATTCACTAAAATTTAAAACCTTATATGCAACTCAGGCATAGATACAAATGTAATTATTTGTCTCAAATATGATACAATCACTGGTATAATTGAATGATGTACTTCATAATGATATTTTAACAGGAATTAAAATCCTTTGATGATGACATAGTGAACCATGGGGTGGATGATGTAGTACAACTACAATAGGATTCCTACTACAATTGTATTTTAGTATATTTTCTAAGACTTTATTTTCTTTTTAGTTTTATTGTATTAGGACTTTTATTTTATTGAGAGTTTTAATTAGAATAGAGTTTTATTAGTTCACTAGTTTCCTTATTTCAATTTCCTAGTACTGTTAGGAATAGGAATAATTTGCCTATAAATATAGAAGCTATTGTACAATTTTCAATCAATTATTCATTATTCAATCAATAGAAGCATATTATTCCTATATCGTTTCATATTTCTTTCATTATAATTCTTATTAAAAGAATTCAAACACGCTTCCGCACCAAAATTGGTATTAGAGCAAGGAATTCACCTTAATTCGATGGCTGATGAAGGTACTGAAGGCAGTCGGACCGCTGACGACGAACGGAGGATCGACAAACTCGAACAACGAATCAAGGGGATCGACGAAGCTCTTCGCAATCTCAAGCAGATGGTAACTGCGTTACCTGTGACGAACAGACACGTTCCAGGAACACGACAGCAAGGAGAAAAATTAAATTACAATGAATACATTGCGAAAACAACCAATCCAACAGAAAGAAGATGATTCAGATTCCGACGAAGACACTCACCTGGAAGTAAAAAGTCCAAGAGTTGCAACCAGTATGGGATTGATGCCTATACCCCAACCCCACGTCGACCCAAGCCAGGAGAGACGACACCAGGCCTTTGCAGATGACCGTCCACAGCAACAGAGCCCTAGCCCTCTTGGTCGGCGCGGCTACACAATCGCGAATCGTGATTTCCGCGAGTCCATCCCACTACAAGTGTATGAAAGGAGGAATAGAGGTCACGGTGGTCTACGTGATGACGCCAACCTCCGACGAAGGGTCCCAGCCGACGGCGACGGCAGAGCCAGTGTTCGACCGCGAGCAACACTAAGAGAGGAACGAGAGGCAGATGAACAATTTGATTTGAGGGAACGTGATTTTGATGATTTTGGCCAAAAATATAATTTTGACCAAGACAACAATTTTGACCAAAGAAATAATATTGACCACGTAGACAATTTTGACCGAATGTTTAATTTCAGACGAGGATTAAATTTTGATTGTTGACCGAGGGATGTTGATTTGCATGGGCACCCTAATTGTCAACCAAGGGATAGGGGCTTTCAAAGACGGCCACGGGGGATCAACTATTCATCCGAAGAAGAAGAAAATTTTAGACCGAGGGCTAACAATTGAGGTCCCAATGTTCAAGAATTTAAGATGAAGATGGACTTGCCAAGTTTTGACGATCGATTAAATATTGAAGATTTTTTGGATTGGATCCACACTGTTAAATTTTTTTCGACTATTTAAATATTTCGGAACAAAGTCAAGTTAAACTAGTAGCGTACAAATTAAAAGATGGAGCTTCTGCATGGTGGGAACAATTACAGTTTAATCGTCAAAGACAAGGAAAGCAACATGTACAAACCTGGCCCAAGATGAAATGTTTGTTGCAAAGGCGATTTCTTCCTTCGGATTATGAACAATTTTTTTACCAGCAGTATTAGAATTGTCGACAGAATAACAGGACAGTAAATGAATATACAAAGGAATTCTATCGATTAAATGCTCAAGTTAATTTGTCTGAAACTGAAGCTCAATTAATTGCTCGTTATATAGGAGGCTTGAAATTAGTCATTCAAGATCGATTGGCCCTTCAAGAAATTTGGACCATGACAGATTCAGTCAATTTAACAATGAAAGTGGAAAATCAGATGAATAAAACTACAGCCCGTACTCAAGGAAATTTTCGAAGGCCAATTCAAGAAACTTATACTACTCCAAAGGGTGCAACAATCTCAAATAACAACAATAATAACAGCAAGGATGCTACTCCAATTCAAAATTCAACACAGAATCAAAGAGGAACTCTCGCCCCTGTTCGATCTAAGAGCTAAGGCAGAAATCAAACACAGCCACGAATCAATAATGACCCGTATATACGTCCTAATCTGGGGAAGTGCTTTCGGTGTAATCAACCATGTCATTTTTCAAATAGCTGTCCAAATAGAAGATCCATTAACTTTGCAAAAGAAGGCGACAGTGGGGAAGAGCAAAATCTTGAAGATAATGATTATGAGGGGGGTGATGTTGCAGATGCAAATACAGGGGAAGAATTGGCGTGCATTATCCAACGCCTTTTGCTTGCTCCAAAGGGCCAGATACCTCTCAACGACACAAGATCTTCAGGACTCAATGCATTGTTCGTAATAAGATATGCAATGTGATCATTGACAGCGGTAGTAGTGAGAATGTTATTTCGAAAGCAGTGGTAAAGGCTCTAAATCTGAAGACTGAGAGACACCCTTCGCCATACAAGATTGCATGGATTAAAAAGGGCCCGGAAGTTTAAGTTTTAGAGATTTGTAAGGTTCCTTTGTCAATTGGAAAATATTACAAAGATGAAATTATATGTGATGTGGTGGATATGGATGCTTTTCACATTTTATTGGGTCGTCCATGGCACTATGATGTTTATGCCACTTATAAGGGACGGGATAATACTTTCATATTTTGGTGGTTAAATAGGAAGATCCTTTTGGTACCACAATCTCAACCTATGAAAACCAACCCCGCCATCAAGGAAGAGAAACCACTTTTTACCAACATCTCAGGCCCAGGATTCTTGGAACAAGTAAAAGAGCCTTGCACAGTATTGGCCTTGGTTGTTAAAGGTCCATCAGAAGTAACTATACAGATTCCCACCAAAGTTCAGAAAGTATTTGCTGATTTTGCCGAGATAGCATCTGACGAGTTACCAAACGAGTTGCCCCCTATGTGAAATATCCAACATCATATTGATTTGGCACCTGGAGCTAGTTTACCTAACTTGCCACATTATCGCATGAGCCCAGTAGAACACGAAGAGTTGCAGCGACAGGTTAATGAATTAAGTCCGTGTGCAGTTCCTTCTTTACTCATTCCAAAGAAGGATGGCAGTTGGCGAATGTGTATAGGCAGTCGTGCCATTAATAAAATAACAATCAAGTATCGCTTTCCCATCCCGCGTCTCAATGATATGCTCGATAGGTTGGAAGGTGCAGTGATATTTACCAAGCTTGATTTAAGGAGTGGCTATCATCAGATCCATATACGCCTTGACGATGAGTGGAAAACAGCTTTTAAAACAAAAGATGGTCTCTACGAGTGGTTAGTGATGCCATTTGGGCTATCAAACGTGCCGAGCACATTTATGCGATTGATGAACCAAGTTCTTCGTCCATTTGTGGGAAATTTTGTGGTGGTTTATTTTTATGACGTTCTTATCTACAGCAAAAATGAAGATGAGCACTTAGCACATCTTACAGAAGTTTTTTCAGCCCTTCAGGAAAATAAATTGTATATTAATCTCAAAAAGTGCAGCTTTATGACCGACCAACTATTATTTCTTGGTTTAATGGTGGGAAAAGATGGTATTCAAGTTGATGAGGCAAAGGTGAAAGCAATACGCGAGTGGCCAACTCCTAAAACCGTGCGAGAAGTACAGAGCTTTCATGGATTAGCAACTTTTTATAGGCGCTTCATTCGAGGGTTTAGTAAAATTATAGCACCTATCACTGATTGCTTGAAAAAGGGCCAATTCCAGTGGGGCAAAGCACGGGAAGATAGTTTTAAGACAATCAAAAACAAGTTATGCACTACACCGGTGTTGGCACTATCTAGCTTCGAGAAAATATTTGAAGTTGAGTGTGATGCTTCAGTTATGGGCATTGGAGCAATGTTGTCCCAAGAAGGCTGCCCAGTTGAATTTTTCAGTGAAAAGGTTAGTGAACCACGACAAAAGTGGACTAAGTATGAGTTAGAATTTTATGCCGTTATTCGAGCATTAAAGCATTGGGAACATTACTTGGTTCAACGAGAATTTGTGCTATTTACAGATCATCAAACTTTGAAGTTTATTAATTCTCAAAAAACAATGAATCGAATGCACGCTCGATGGATTACCTTTTTGCAGAAATTCACTTTTGTTATAAAACATAAATCTGGCCAACAGAATAAAGTAGAAGACGCATTAAGTCGCTATGCATCTCTTCTAGCTACAATTAAAACAAAAGTAGTTGGGTTTGATTGTTTAAAGGAACTATATGCAACTGATGAAGATTTTGGCGATATATGGGCTCGATGCAATGATAAGGAATTTATACCCGATTGCCTTCTTCAGGAAGGATTCTTGTTTAAGGGAACGCAATTATTCATTCCTCGTTCTTCTTTGCGTGAGCACTTGATTCGAGAACTACATGCAGGCGGTTTAGGCGGACATGTTGGTCGAGATAAGACAATCAGCTTGGTTGAAGAGAGATTTTACTGGCCCCTACTCAAAAGTGATATTGGTCGTTTTGTTCAACGTTGCCCAATATGTCAGAAAGCTAAGGGACAAGTTCAAAATACTGGCTTTTATACTCCTTTGCCTATTCCAGATACAATATGGCAAGATCTTACAATGGATTTTGTTCTCGGTCTCCCACGAACTCAACGGGGAGTTGATTCTGTTTTGGTCGTAATTGATCGATTTTCAAAAATGGCTCACTTCATTCCTTGTAAGAAAACTACAGATGCTTCTTACGTGGCTAATTTATTTTTTCGCGAGATCGTTCTCCTACATGGTATCCCTTGTTCTATAACTTCTGATAGAGATGTAAAGTTTTTAAGTCACTTTTGGAGGACATTGTGGAAAATATTTGACACTTCTTTAAAATTTAGTAGCACAAGTCATCCCCAAATAGATGGTCAAACCGAAGTGGCTAATCGAACTCTTGGCAATATGATTCGAGCAGTTTGCTGAACATATTCAAAGAATTCATTACGAGGTAAAACAAAATAAACAAAATTTAGAAGATGCTAATATTCGTTACAAGGCTGCTGCTGACCAACATAGGCGCTTTAAGCTATTCAACGAAGGTGATTTAGTGATGGTTCATATCAGAAAAAATCGTTTTCCTGTTGGCACTTACAGTAAACTTATAGATAAGAAGATTGGTCCTTTTCGCATTCTTCAAAAAATTGGCGATAATACTTATAAAGTTGATCTTTCAGCAGATATGAACATTTTCGATACTTTTAATGTTGTTGATATTTATGAATACTTTCCTCGAGATGAATTTTCCTTGCAAACACAAAACTCGAGGGCAAGTTTTCTTTCAAGTGGAGGGGATTGATGTAGTACAACTGCAATAGGATTCCTACTACAATTGTATTTTATATTTTCTAAGACTTTATTTTCTTTTTAGTTTTATTGTGTTAGGACTTTTATTTTATTGAGAGTTTTAATTAGAATAGAGTTTTATTAGTTCACTAGTTTCCTTATTTCAATTTTCTAGTACTGTTAGAAATAGGAATTTGCCTATAAATATAGAAGCTATTGTACAATTCTCAATCAATTATTCATTATTCAATCAATAGAAGCATATTATTCCTATATCGGTTCATATTTCTTTCATTATAATTCTTATTTCAAGAATTCAAACACGCTTCCGCACCAGTGGAAAAGAAAAAAAAAATGAAGTGATGCAATGTATGCTTGGAAGTCATTCCAATTCTTCATAAGAAATGTGGTGCAAGGTTTGGCCTAAAATGTAGTAATGGGGAGAAAACCAATTGTATCTTCCTATTGCTTTTAGTTGCACATAAGAAGTTGATCCGATTCCCATTTTAAATTATTAAGTGATCATCTCACGATAAATCCACTTTGCACTGCTGCAGCCTTCTTTGTGCATATGCAGTAGGAAGAGACATGGAAGAAGCATTTTCATGTGTAAGAAAGATGGTGGAAGAAGGAATTGAAATGCGTGGTGACATACGGTATTCTTGTGGGAGAATTTGCTAATATTGAGTAACCAGAAAGTCTGCGTCGATGGATAAAATAGTAGATTTTACACAAATATGACCCTTGGACCAAAATCCATATAACAAAGTTGCTAAGAAAGGTTTAAACATTTGATGAGCTAGAATCATTTGCAAGTAGCTTCTATCAAAGCTGTTCGAATTAGCTTCTTAGAGACATTGTTGCATTGTATCTCGATTCTTTTTCTAATGTCTCTGAACCTTGTGTTGTATGTTTTCTTGATTGCTTGTCTTCATTTTGTGTTATTAATTTCATTCCTAACTGTTATTTTGGAGTCTTTATTTCAATTTTCTCACAGCTTGGCATGCGTGATCTTGTGTTAAATTCTGTCTGTCTTTTAGTTTTTTGAATTTGGTGGTAGGAAGTAAAATTACCGGTGATATTTTAAAGAAATTGAATAGGAATGGATATGAGCACACTTAGGGAAATGCAACGATAAAACTTGCAGAAGCATGTGGCTTTTTTTTTTGGGGGGGGGGGGGGGGGGGGGGGGACGGGGGGGGGGGGGGGGGGGTCCAGATTGCTCATGAAGCAAGTAAACCACATTTATTCCTTCATCCCCAAATTCCACATCATAGAACGAGAATCAAATAGAACAAAGCAAAGCATCTTATTTAAAAGAAATTGTCACCTCGTTTGTAATTCTTTCTTTATTTCCTTATCTATATTATATTAATTAGCAGACCAAATATTTCCGTAGAGATCTATAACATGGAATATGGTGCTAATGCTCGAATATGTGGAGCCTGAAAATGGAGAATACCACTTCCTAAGTTCTTAAGGCAAATCCCATTTCAATGTTTGGGACCACAATGACCTTCTTATGCATGAAGTTTTATGGGAGGATTGAAGAATGTCTTTGCCATCGGAGCTGGTAATTTTAATTTCTTTTTGATAGTCAATTCTTCTTATTCTTTTTTTTTCTAAAAAATAAAAAAAAAAAGGAACTTACAACTTTGTCATTTCTGATTCTTGAACTTTAACTTTATTCATTGGTTGAAATGGTTATGAGAGGAAAAGGCCTAAATTTCTATCAACAATCTTGTACACTCAGTTGAATGCAGGGGTAGCTCTTGAAATATGCTAAGGCATGCCTCATTTCCTGGGTACTAGGGTTGTACATATTTAACATAACTCATTCTTGATTGTTGATAAATAAATGAACCATTATAAACTTTGCGATATGAAGCTCTTAAAATAAGGAATTATAACTGCTCCTTCACGATGTTCTACTGATTTCTGCCAAGATGATAGAAACTCTTTGCATTTGTGTAGGGATCGGCTTAAGTTCAGAACTTGAAGGATTCTCTTGCTGAAGCGAAATCTGATATTGTGGTTAAGGTAATTTGTTATTTTTTTTTTTACTTTTGTCATTTTCTCAAGAAATAATGCAAGTTTATCCTCGTATAAAGCTTGTAACCATATCATTCTTCATGCAGATCGATTTGAGGAAGGGTTCTCACTCATTTGTTGAGCTTGTGCTGCTGGGTTTTAATGAAGAAAATGGAACTCGGGGGAACATATGGGACAGTGTCTTGGACAATGATTTAGTGCTACTTTTGATATCCGATGTACTTTAGGTATCAAATTGCCTTGTTTATTTGGCCATAAGGGCTTTGTTGTCATCTTCTTCACATGTCTCTCTCTGTATTTAAAAATGAATGCTTGAATTTTTTATTTGGTGTAAACAAAGTATTTATCATTCATTAAAATTCCCAAAAAAAATAAACAAATAAATAAACAAACAAAATAGATTAGTATATTCTATATTTCATTTATTTTATTCTTATTTCCGTCAGCTTTCGAAGGCATCCACATGCATATAAATTAAATGTTCTAGCACAATTCTTTACTCTAACCAGTTATTCCAAGTGTATCTAATTTGATTTATTGCAATTACTTTTAGAAAAGAAAAAATAGATAAGGTTCAACATATCTATCATTATTCCTTCACATTAAACACGCTAACATTAGCTTTATATTGAAGCAACCAGTGCATTGCACGAGCAAAGACTAGTAGTAAGAAAAAGAATTTGAAATCTTGTTTACTGTATTGTGTCAACAAACATGCCGGAATTTTAAAAATTCTTTGCCCTTGATAAACAATTGTTGGATCGTAACCCTAAGGGAAAAATTGGAGTCGTTATTTTATAAAAGTTAAGATTAAACATATCATTAGTTGAATTAATGGAACTTTGTAAATATTTAAAAATTTAATTATAGTACGAACTCGAGAATCAAATGAAATCAAACAGAACTGAATGGAATCAAATCGAATCCAAACGGTTCCACAATTAAATTTGAACCCAACGATTCCACTTACTACCTGAAAATTTGGGTTCAATTTGATTCTCTTTAAAATCAAAATGAAGAGGACCATATTCAGTCCTATTCTCATATTATATTCTTCCTAAAAATGAAAAAGTTATTCTTAACCATTATCCTTAACCATGGTAATGGAAAAAGCTAAAAAGCTCTATGTGCGTACTTTTTACCCTAACCACAACTAGCTTTTTCCGCCTATATAAACACTGTATTTCTGCTTCAATTACTTCCATTGCAATTCTATCTCCTTCTTCCTCAGTTTCTCTATCTAAAGTTATCAATGGCGTCTGCAGATGTTGAGTACAGATGCTTTGTCGGTGGTCTAGCATGGGCCACCACAGATCAATCACTCGAGCAAGCCTTTGCTGAGTTTGGAGAAGTCATCGAATCGAAGGTCCGTTAGTCGCAGAGATCGGGATCCGTCTCGATTCGGTTTTGTTGACAACTGTTAATATGTTACTGTTACTGAGTTACTATTTCCGTTACTATTACTTTCCCCTGTATCGGTACGTTCCATCTTCCTTTTTGTTATCAGGAGATGAGGATCGAATCGCTTTTCAGTTTTCATTTTGATCATTTTACTATGTATGTTATGGATCTGTTTGAATCTGATGGGTTTTTGGAATTTTCTTATTTAGATAATTAATGATCGCGAAACTGGAAGATCGAGGGGTTTTGGATTCGTTACCTTCAAGGACGACCAATCGATGAGGGACGCGATTGAAGGAATGAACGGTCAGGATCTTGATGGGAGGAATATTACCGTTAACAAGGCTCAATCTCGCGGCAGTGGAGGTGGAGGTGGAGGTGGATTCCGTGGTGGTCGCCGTGAGGGTGGTGGCTACGGCCGTCGAGATGGAGGCTACAAAGGAGGCAACGGTGGTGGATACGGTGGCGGATATGGTGGCGGCTACGGTGGCGGCTACGGTGGCGGCCGTGACCGTGGATATGGCGGTGAACGTGGTTACTCAAGAGGCGGTGGTGATTCCGAAGGCAACTGGAGGAATTATTAGGGTTAAATGTTCTATTCGTGATTTCCATTGTGTGTTAGTTTCTAATGCTATGTTTTGTGTTCTTGATCTCTGGTTCTTGTGGTTACTTTCACCATGTATAAATAAATATTTGCAGATTTCTGCAAAATGAAGTAAATTGTGATCCTTCAAAATTTGATTTTGATCCTTGTTTTCGATTACTGATTGTATGTCCTGATCCTGATTAAGTTCGTCCGTTAATCAAGAAGCCCGGAATTGGTTCAGATTCAGGAAAAAGAAACTAGAGCTTTGGTTATGTGCACCAGGCAGCTAAATCTCTAGTCATTTTCACTGAATCTACTTAACTTCAGAAGAAATTCAAGAATTTGTAGCCATGAATTGGATCAAAATCTTAAATAGAATCCTAACATTTCAAGATTATTATAATGGTATTCGACTGTACTTGCGATAAAGAGGGCTCGGTTTCACAAATCTTGGAACTCTTCATTAAGGATGAAAAATAAATAAATAAATAAACCCCAACGCTGCAAAATGGTAGTAGGGAAGCAAGGTAAAAATTAAAAAAAATTGTAGTTCTAGCAAAAGAATACAAGCGAATGAATCCCATCCCCTAGCAAGCTAAGTACTTCCGTCTCAGGACTCTGCAATTGGAATAAAACTTATGAGTGAATGTTCCACCTACCAATCTATTTGACAAACGATCGTGACCCTTAAATGAAAAATAATCAAACACCCCAATTCTACACAGGTATGTGTCTTTCCCAACCTTCATCCACTCAACCCCCATCACCCAAGTTGTCCCCCGAAGCTGCCTATTTTGCTGCGGTGTCCCTTCGCTCCACTCACCCTTGACAATTTTCTCTTTGTAACGTTTGGTAAAGAGGACTAAAGAATGTGCTAAAAGTAATGTTTTTACTCGAACATTTTATTTTATTTTTTATAATGGAAGTTGGAGATAAGGAAGCTTTATATCAGTTATAGAAGCATTAAAAACGCTAGAATGTCATAGAATTGGGATTGCATACTGATAATCAATTGATGTATGGAGAGATTAGTGAAGTTTTTAGACCTAGACAGGAATGTCAATAAGCCGAGCCGGCTCGCGAGCTGAAATTCTTGAATTGGGCTTTGATAAAATGTCCGAGTTTTTTTTCGGGCCCGAGCCGAGCAAAAGCTCGATCAAAAAAATTAGGCTCTTTCAAGCCGAGCCAGGCTCTTTTTTTTTTTCTTTTTTTTTTTTTTATATGCAATAGGCTGTTGCCTTTAAAAAAATGGCAGAGGCCAGCAGGCTTACTGCCTTATTTCAACAAATAAGGCAGCAACCTACTACCTTTAGTATTTTTATTTTTTGTTTTTTATTTATATAAAGCCCCATGAACCACACGAGCTAGCTTAGGAATCCAAATTGGGGCTGGGCTTGAGCCTCGAGCCAGACCTACTCGGGTTTTTTCGGGCCGAACCACGAACGGCCCGAGCCGACGAGCTCGATTGCCATCCCTATACCTAGAACTTCTTGTTCTGTTGTTTGATTTGTCTTTGCAGTCTAAATTAGTTTAGTACATTTCTGTATTTTTAAGATTTTCTAGAACCTAGAAAGCATCGATTTCAGGTTTTACTTATCAATTGTGCTACACGTACACCGACGTCACGCCCCTCACACAAGGGGGGCCCACACTTTTTTTTATTGGGTGTGAACCCCTCCCTCATGTGAGGTGACACGCCAATGTACACATAGCGAATTTTTTTACTTATTATCAGTCTTGATACTTAGCATACATAAGGATGATTGGGTAGAATGCATATCAGTTGGCTAAACTTGAAATTGAATAAATAAAGTTGAGAATAACTCGTCTTTGTCTCCTTCATTCACCTTTCTTTCTTATGTTAGTGTTATGTCCAAGTTGCAGAATATATAGTGCAAGAGAGAATTGGAGAAAAAGGTCTTTATGCCACAAATCGCCAATGGAGAATGGAATGAGAGTGACGACGTCGTGAAATAGGTGCGTCCTGCGGCAACTTTTGGGGATGGGGGTTGAGAGGAGGAAAGTTGGGGAAGACTCGGGCCTTTAGAGAATTATTAAACCAAATTTGGGTGCTTGGTTCCGGGTATAAAAATTGTAGAAGACATTTTTAATTTCTATTTGGTGGAATGCTCTCCAAACTATCAAATGGTCATTTACAAATGTGAATTATTGGTTCAAATTTCTGTTGCAAGATCCAAATTGCTTGCAGCAAAGAAACATTGATTAGTCTTTAACATCTATTAGGATCACATTTCAACCATCTCATCTAAAAATGTGTCTAACGAGTACATACTAAATCTATTATAACATTTGACCACCATCGTTTGATTGACCATATCATTAAGAGAGGCATTGTTGCTCCCCCAACAATATCTCCCTCAACATGACATTTTCACGACTCGAATTCATGATGCTAACTTTGATACCCACTGGTTTGGATCAAGTTTCCATGATCTCATCTAAAAATTAATTTTTGTCCAACGAAAACAAGCTTAGCCCCCATTTGGTTCTGATTTTTCACCCCAAAAAATCAATTTTTTGATCGTTACTTCTCTAAGTCAGCTGTCATTTTCGACTTCTTCACGTACAAGTGGGATCCACTTACCTCTTTAACGATAAAAAAAAAAAAAAAAAATTGATTCTCAAAAAGGTTACCGAACAGACCCTAAATTTTTTATGGTATTCAATCATCATCATCTGAGTGATTGAAACAATGTGTTAAAAGTGACATTGTTGCTCCCAACAACATCTAAACTTGGCAATTGGATTTTTGATATCTGATATCTATATTGACTTTAAATTTCAAAGATTCCCTCCGATGCAAATCGGCAGGTTAAAAATAATGCAAAACATTAAAGGCAAGTTCGGCATGCACTAATCTGTAGTTTTATAAAGGAAAACAAACAAGATTTTAAAGTTCTCCCTCTCTTTTTTAATAATGTCCAATCCAACATACCAAACATGTCTGAAATTGTTTCTAAGGTGTTTAAATCTCCCATTCTCTTTAGTTACTGGACCTGTTTAACAAGAGGTGATAATATATGAAACCTAACCATCTGGAATATAATCAAACGAGATCAAGAGAATATCATGGAAACATTTACACGTCGTTAACAATCTCGACCTTGTGGGAAGGACCAGCTGCAGCAGAGAGATTGAGAAACATTTATAGATCGTTTTTTTTTTTTTTAATATTCAGGTATCCCAACTTACATCAAACTAAATTCTGGACCTCCAAGGCCCATGCCCCTAGAACCTTGGAGGGGGTAAATCGCGGGTTATACCTCAACTGGATCACAAGTTCCCCCCATTGACTATACACTTCTGCGCACAAGAAACCCTCCTCCACAATGATTGCTCCATACCAAATTTTTGGCCGCAGGTCCCCACCAGGAATCGAACTCTCCACCCTGCCGTTGGAAGCAAGCCAATGTTGATTAATCCACCAGTTGAGCTGTGCCCCGGGGGGCAACATTTACAGATCTTACTTTCACTGAAGATGGACCCAATAATAAAGATTCCAAATATATGTAGAAAGGTTTTTCCGAGTTCCCAAATCTTCTCTTCTCTACGTACATATTCCTAGACAAACCGAAAATGTAATTTTCAACTAATCATTAGAGGGGATTCATAAACCTGTAGCCTTTTTGCAACTCGTTTCAAAGAGCCACAGATTCTTTCTATTCTTTTCAAGATTTTCTATACATCAACGAGCAACAAATCCATTAACTCTGTTACTGCAAGGATCTTTATCCAGTGCTAATAGCAGTTCTTTGGATCCAATGAGAAGTGTCATGGCCTCCATTCACTAACAATATCCGCCATTAAGCTCGCATGTTTGTTTTTCAAAGAGACCCACATAATAAGACCATTGGAATAATATGTCAAACTGCAATAAAGGGTTTATGTTTCTAATACGATTAGGCTCTACACATTTCCACAGTGTGGTGATGGTTAAGTTTCTACAAGAGCTCGACAAAAGGGGAAACTAATGTGTTTGCTCATCCAATATGATATATGGGCAGCTTTTCATCCATACCAAAGTAGAGTTGCTGAAATGAATTTAACAAATGAATAATGCTATTTATAATCAGTAATTACAGTAATCATCCTATGTGAGGCATTAATTTCCTATAATTATGTTGCCCCAAATGACAAGCTAATATTTCCAATAACAAATTGCTATATAGGACGATTACTGCAGTCGCTGACTATGAATAGCATTACTTCGAACAATTACAACATTATTCAACTAAAATTAAGATTTTAGGGATGTCTTTTGAACTCATCACCACCATCAGAGGTGGTTTTGTGGATATTATAAATGAATAGGACTAAAATGAATCGATTTTGAAGAATTTACTCTGGATAGGGCCACAGATTGGATTATATGAAGTCTAATCATACGGTGCACTTACGCTATATACTATGGATTGACCTTGTACTTTTCTCCATGATAATCAAAGCATGCATTAGCAACTGTACTTAACCCCCAAAACCACTAACAATCTGTATATTTTCTCAGTGCTCTTTTATGTTTTTGTATAATGGATTTTGTAGAAAGTGGTTTTGTTTTTCGAATATATTGTTAAAAAGTAGGGAAAATTCCAAAAGACGTGAAGAGGCATTATGAAGTACTGGTTGATGTATCGAGAGTGGTCGCTTCCTCTTCCTTAACTACACAACTTCTATGTGGTAACATGAGAGAGGGGACCATAGTACTAAGTTTCAACTTGGATGTTCCAGATTCACTTTCTATTACATTTCCTCAATGCCCAAACTGTATCACTGGGTACAACGAAAATAAAACTAAAAATCTCGTTGCTTGTATTATCCAAGCCTCTACAAACGCTAAGTTGATGCTTGTCTAAGAACCTAAATAATTGCATCCATGCAATGTATTCATTTTGTGGGCACCCGTCCTTGCAAAATTGTGTCATATACCCTGGCAAAGATGATCAACTAGTGCATGCGTGTGCCATTCACACGTTTACATTTCAATGTACAAATAGCCCACAAACTTACTTGGCGATAAGTATGCTCTACAGCAGTCCCGTATGGTCTAATCCTCACTAGTACTGCATGATGTTAAGACGCTGTAATCTATTTCAGGAAAACTTAACACATAAATTTGAAGGATATTCGTCTATCGAACCTTCTGAGTATGCATGCGAGTAAACAAATCTTCAGAACCCCACAAGCCAATACAACTCAGGGTCAGAATTTTTTGCACATGTTCTTGAATTCATTCGTAAACTAAAATTGGGAGGGCTTAAAGATTTTATTGGTATAGGTCAACATGCTAATCCACCGAAGACAATATGAGAACTTATATAAACGAGGGTGATCCCAAATTTGAAGTATCCTACTATCATGTTGGTATCGATTGATATTTCACTAAATCACAAGCTACAGTGAAATTGATGTAGGGTGAAAGATTTGAAGCTGTACGGAATCAAGAATGTCAAATAGATAAAGATGCAATTTTTCGTCAAATTCTAATTCCAATTGTAATATATATGAACATAACGAGATTAGAAACGTGCAAAGCAAACTCATGGAATTAAGCACCTCTCTCAATTCAAAGCTAAATGCATGTATAACGAAGGATATTATAAGCACTTAGAAAGATTCCAAGGCAAACTCAAAGTAACTGCAATCTTGGACACTAAATTTTTTATATCTCACAAATTATATCATCAGTAGCAACTCAACACATAAAATTTTAATAGACATAAATGGAAAAATACATTAGAACACAAGTAAATGAACTGTATAGACATACACTCACATCATTCATTACACAAATTTGCTCTCAAGAAACAGCTGCTCCATTACAAAACAGATTCTTCCCCAGCCTCTGTCATTGAATAAAATTTATATATCAGTTCCTAAGAATTCAAAACAAAGAATTTAAATAATTTGGGTTAGAAAATAGATTATACCTTTTCCAGGAACAATAATGACTGGTGCGGTTTTACAATTGTGGAAGCAATATTCACTAACGCTTCCTTGTAGCACACTAAAATAGAGTCAAGATAAAAATCTCAGTCGAGCACAAATAGGTAAAGGGGTGAGAGATCGAGGGAGAGTGGCACCTTTGCATCAAGCTTCGGCCTCTGGTGCCAAGGACAACAGCAGCTGGCTTCAACCTTTCTGCTTCCTTGCAAATTGCCTTCCCTGCGTCTCCTTCCACGATCCTAGCCTTTGACTTTACCTATTTTAAACGTGATAAATTCCATATAAAATACGATAAAAGCTTAAAAACAGAAAATCCATAGAATTCATTATGCGACTTTTGTTTTCCTTTCGCTCTTTTTATGGTTAAATGATTTCTATATAAACAATACAATTATACCAGGTTTTAAATTTTTCGTCATGACAAAGACGAACATAAGTGAGAGTTTCTAAATGCACATGTGAGGGTCTCTGATTACAAGAACAATGTAGACAGACGCCAACATACTTCTGTATAGAAGATAGATCAATATACGTGGAAACAGTGAAGAGAAAAGTGAAATGGAAAAATGATGTACTAGTTGGTCAAAGGAGATAGTATTGATGAATAAATAATTTGTTCACGTAAAACAAATTAATTGTAACATTTGGCAGAAAAAATCTCAAAAACATTATTCAAAACAGTAAATATTGGTCCAAAAAAAATTCTTCAAATTGTAATGTACACTAGATAATGAAAAATAAAAAACAAGCTCGCTACATCGCAAACTCCATGTCCAATGGTTGCATTTTCTTACATGCATACATGTAGTATTCTCCTGTGCTTACAGATTAGGCGACCCTCTTATGAAAAGGTCCGTGGGCCACCTAACACTAGGCTTCAGGTGGAGGGAGGCTGAGACGTAGGACTAACGACGTGTACAATACTTGAATTCTTGATGTAAATGCTACATAATTGGTTCTCATCCTTCAAAAACAACATGTAAAATAGGAGCATCAAATTTTATCTCAACCTTCATAATTTGCATTATTTTAAACGTCATAACAAAATCGATCATCATCACTTTTGCATAGACGTAGCGAGTTAAATGTTCATAAGAGTGTCACGATTTTAATAGAATGAGATGACTAAAACTAACATGGCCTATTGAGGTTATTAGCAATCTATTCTAAACTTTAAATTTTTTGAAAACAAGAAATAACAATAATTGCAAACACAATGTTAATGTCAAATAAACTAACCATTTTTATTTCTTGCAACATCAAATGTTCCATGAAAACACAAAACTACCAAAATAATTAAGATTAAATTTGGAAAAGAAAATTGAAATTACCATAGCAACCTCAAGCGCCTCCACTGCAAGCTTCTCCATAAGAACCTGTGTCGTGTCGTAAACAATCTGGTTCTTCAAACCTAACATAAATAAATAACAATCATATAAGAAAATTCATTCCAATTATATATAAATACAAAAATCAAGAAAATTTCACTAACGGTTACTCGAGCAGCAAGTCAGTCCCCACTCTTTTAAAATGAACAAAATAGTCCCAAATGACCAAAACCATTCAAATCTAAGTTATCAGTGTCTTTCTCGTGTATGAGACTGCAAATTTCCTAAAAGCGAAAACGTAGAACAATATGAAAATAAAATTAGGGTTACTCGAAACGGCATGAACAAGATGAACGGTATCGGCAAGGCGGCAGAGATGAGTTATGGCCCAATGAAAAGCGTGTTTGCTATTGGGTCCATGATCAACTGCGATTATTATGTCGCGGCCTCTTCTTCTCTCTCCGGTTTCTCTCTCCAGTTCCGGCTCCGGTACAATTGGAATTAGTGTAGGAAGTTTCACTTCTTTCCAGTTGTACTCTTCTTCCTCCATTAACGTCTCCATTTCGTTGATTTGATTCTCCTTTTTTTAACTCTCTCTCTCTCTCTCTGGGGGCTATGAGTTGATCAAAATGGAATCATTTGTGGGTTTTCCATTCAGCAATGGTTCTTTTTAGAGTGTACAGTCATAATTGAATTTGCGTGTTGAAATTGGACTACTTTTCTTCCATTCTTTACCAAGTTGTCTATTCAATGATTTGGTTCATACTGGCTGACATCCTAGAGAATGTGGGGCTGAAATTTAAAAATATATATATATATTAGTTTGTGTGTATAAAATTTTATTGTGTTTCATGTAGTGGAGAATATTACAATATCTAATAATTTATTTTATTAAAAGATGACAAACGGAGCCTTAATTTTTCCATATGCGAATGGAATTGGACAAGTTCTATAATTCTTTCTTTATCTTTATTGACCAGTTTTTCAAAATATTAACGACGATTGATGAGTTTCAAATGTAAATATTTTAGTAAGCGTGTTGGTCGGGATTTTAAGTAAATTAAAATTAATTTTTTAACTTTTATTTCACTATTTCAACCGTCAATTTTCAATTCTTCTCTCACAAATAGACCAACTTTTACCTCTAATGACTATAGAATCAATTCTCAAATTCCCTACCAAACACCCTCTAAAACATAAAAGTAAAATGCTCCCTGAACAGGCCCACTTGTACAGGGACTGTCACATGAGATGGACCCCATATATGGGGTCTGTGCAAGTAGCACAGCTGAACATAAAATAGTTTCTTCTTTATCTTTCCCTATTTTCTTGTCATGGCATGCTCAAAGACAGCTGGAATCTCAAGAATAATAAGAAACGTGGAATGATATGACTCTGTTTTAGATAAACATGTTTGGTTCAATAAAAAAAAAATCGATTAAAATTTAAATTAAAATTAAAAATAATAAGTAATTTTAAATTGTGATTTTTCAAAATCATTTGACTGTAACAAAAGTTAATTAAAATTTAAGTGTATGTTTGGTAGGGATTAAAAATAGATTTTTTTTAGTAGATTGTGATAGAAATTTTAGAAATGTGTGACTGAAAAGTTGTGGAACCCTTGAAAGATATGGTTAATATTAATTGTTTGACTTTTAATTTAGATTAAAATCAATTTTTAATCTAAACCAAACAAGCTCTAAATTAAAGTTGGGAGTCTCAACTTGTCCATTGGTGTGCCAACTAATAATTTATCGTGTGAATGTATAATTGAAAGTGAATACAAAAAATAAATTAAAATAAAGTAAATTAAATTAAAAGCCACCGAAAAGGGGCTTGATATGGCGTGCCGCACGATACATGGAAACAGCTTAACAAATTTGCTGCAACTTCTTCCTGAACTGGTGCATTTTTCTAAGAGGAGAATCACTTCACGTTACGTGAGTCTCTGTCAGAATCAACCATACGATTATTATCTCCTTGCTTAAACTATAAAGTAAATAGCCAAAATAAATAAATAAATAAATAAATAAATAAAAAATAAAAAAAATGGAAAGAAAAGAAAAAAAGAATAAGTGTACTTTCTGCCACGTAATGGAGCCCGCGATCTTTTTATTTATTCATTTATTTTTTTTCTATGCGGTCAGAATTTTTGAAGAATACAAATAACCTCTAATTTTTTTCCATATTCGCTGAGTCTCGTGAATAACAAGTAAATCACAACAATTGGGGCATTGGTCTTTGTAGAGTTTATGCTTCTTCTTTCACTAATTGGGTTATGGTTGGTGTTAGGAATATACTTATAATGTGAAGCGAAAAATAAAATAGATTTTTATTTTCATTAAGGATTTTCTTTGTATTTAGTTATAAATTGTAATAAAGTTAAACATTTTCTAGATCTGTAAGCTCTTTTGCTTTTTCTTTGTTCCAACAATCTTGATCTGTCACCCACAGCTGTCCAATTGTCCAGCCTTTAATTGTGATCTACACAGAGAAACGGATTGGGACAACTGGACCTTTTCTTATGATGGCAAGAATAATGAATTTTCTCTACAGATCCAAAACCTTAACTACTTATTTATACAAACTCAAACGGTCCATGAATTAACCCATTTAATTAAATTCGGTCCATGAATTAATTAATCCAATTAATTAATTTAAGTCATTAAATAAGTAACCCAATTAATTAATTTATTCAACGCCTGTTAAATTAATTAATTGGTTAAATACAATCAGTTCTCCTTTTGTGTGTGACTCATTGGGTTATCAATCACGATGCATAGTGATGTGAATTATTATTTTGATATAATCAATATCGATAAATTAAAACACTTTTTTAACTTATCACCTACTCACATTTACCATCCCAAATTGACAATTAGCAATGTGTCAGGGCAATACATGTGACGAAAAATGTCACGTGGCATGACAGAACCAAACTTGTTCATTTACCGTGAAATTTTAATCGCTTCGTCAATATGATCCGATCAATTACAAAATATGGATACATCAATCTTAATTATCGATCATATTTTTCATTCCACTATTAAGTCAATCTAAGTCAAAAACTCATTTTCAACTTATGAGTACACTTTGACCAAGAATTTCATTATCGACTTAACTGAATGAAATGTAGATCACAATCTTTTACTATCTAAGAGTGACGAATTCTCTATCGGTCATTCACAATCTTCATATGATTTTTGACATACCTGAACGACACCGTATTAGTGGCCCTTGACAGAGCAATATCCAACATCATCAAAGTATGACTATCCTCTTATAAGGCACCATGATAACTTCAAGTCAAAAGACCAATTCCACTACCGAACGTCAATGATTAACCAGTGATACTCAGATAGTTATCCACGTGGAATATCTCGGCGAGTCTTTAATGTTTTGTTCTACAACAAAATACCTACGTGTTCATTTAAGTGTCACCATACTTTAACTTGTGAGATAAAGCTGTTTACTTCACAACTAAGAAATGTCACACATGATGATCTATCCGTAATAACAATATTCATATCTCGTTATTACTTATGACCACGAAAGATTTAAGACTCAATCATGTGTAATTTGTATCTCATAATCATAACTCCTTGTGATTAATAAATTATCAAGATTTGAATCTACGGACTCTATTATTTAATTTATTGAATATTAATTAAATAATAGATCTATCATAAATTGTATCAATTATATATTAAAAGTATTTATGTCAAATGTTGATTGTACCTAGAACATAACACTTACAAACTCTCACTTGCACTAAATTCAATCACTTATGTATCCAATATCATAAAAGTCTACATGACAATCATGTTTAAGCTGCGACAACTCTTTGTCAGTAGATCTGCAATATTATCATTTGTGATAATTCATTTCTTTCTTTATGTAATTTCTTTATATTATCTCTCCGATGAAATGATATTACCTTAGTATATGTTAGAATCATTGATAAGACCTTAGTTCATTTGCTTGACCGATGGTTCTAGTGTTATCACAATACAATCACATGTGATCAACAATATTAGGAATTACTCCAAGTTTATTTATGAACATCTTGATCCACACTGCAACTCTATGTTACTTATGAAGCAATCATGTATTAGGTTTATATTATTGAACCAACGATTGTTTCACTTTTGGAATCTTTCCGCACCGCTTAAAAGTAAACCAATTTCTCTATATAAAATCTTCTTTATCTATGAAGATTGAGATGAGTTAATCAATCTTCTAGATCAATCTCTATAGATCAAGTTGTTTATCCCATATCTTTCATGAAAAATCCTATAACAACCATTGTATCAACGATTGAAACGCAAGGATATTGTTCCCTACTAATAATATGCCTTACATATAATATTAGGAATTCAACAATGCTCCCAATATTTTCTTGTAAACACGCAATTCGTCTTCACATTTGATAATATTAAACCTTTTGATTTTTTTTTTTTTATCAAATTGAATATTTTCAACTCCAACGGGCTTGCTTTAACCTATAGTCACGGTATGTCACTATTGCAACCAAAATTCGAATGGACTTTAGTATGACTACAAGCGAAATGAGGCCAACACTTTGTCCTTGTTTGTAACCTTTTCTAATAGCATTACTTTGTATGTACGAATGTTTCTATCCATGTCGACATTTTCTTTGTAAACCATTTAAAACATATGGGTTTTATCCCATTAAGAGGGTCGATCAAGGTTCAAACCTTGTTTTATACATTTAGTTCATTTCGGATTCCATGGCCTGCTGACCAAAGGATCAATTCCACTATCGAACGTTAGAGATTAACCATTGATACTTAGATAGTTATCCATGTGGAATCTCTCAGTGGGTCTCCAATGTTTTGTTCTACAACAAAACATACACATATTCATTTGAGTGTCCACGTTGTAGCTTGTGAGATCAACTGCTTCCTTCATAAGTAAGAAATGTCACACGTGATGGTCTATCCGTAATAATGATATATGTATCTTGTTATTACTTAGGACCACGGACAATTTAAGACTCAATCATATGTAATTCGTATCTCACAATCACAATTCCTTATAATTAACAAATTATCAAGATTTGAATCTACAGATTCTATTATTTAATTTAATTGAATCTTAATTAAATAATAGATCTACCATAAAATTGCATCAATTATATATTAAAAGTATTTATGTCCAATGTTGATTAGATCTATGACATAACATTTACAGTTGTATTGATCTAATTCACGTTCCCTTTTTCTATATACAAAAATATTCACTTTCGTATGTGTTTACAAGGAGATGCACATTTAATATAACAAGAATGGATGGCAAACACCAATTTATCGTGGGATTCTGGAAGGTTGGTTGTGCCACCCTAATCACTGTCACAGCAAATGTTCCGTCACCATATTTAGTTCTTTTGTGTGAGAGGACGGTGGTGGGTGGGGGAATAATATGGTAATCGATTAAAAAGAGTATGAAGACCTGAAGATCGAAGAGTTGGAAGGATAGGTTTTAAGTTTGAGTGTAAAAATTGATGAGGTGATTGTTGTGTGTGTAAGAAAAATAGCGTGTGAAAATGGAGATGATGTGTTGTTGGGTAAAGATGGGAAAAAGGAAATTTAGGTTGACGATATGAAATTGTGACACGTATTAAGCAAAAGTTAGGCTCTTTTATATATGTAGGATGTCTTGTTTAATATGTATTAGGTTCCTGTTTGGTGGTCTTA